GGAACTTTGTTGGGTGTCTCTACCAGCACGTGCAACTGTTCAATACTGTGTGAGTTGGCCTCCACAAGCGACTTAATTGTGTTGGGAAGAAGCCCGTCCACCTGTAAAATATGGAAGGGTGAAAAGCGCGGAAAACAAATATAACGCTCACCCACATTTTTCAAATACATTTATGTACATCCCTACCTTCAGCTTCTTCAATCCGCCATTTTCTTTGGCGAGCTTGACTTCGCCACTTTTTAGGCGCAATTTTGCATCGGCAAAGATTTCTAGTTTTTTCAGTTGACCAATTTTATTAATCGCTTCCAGGTGTTGCCGCCGCGGCCACCTTACCTCGATCGATCGGAGCTCCGGGTGGTTTCTCACTCTCTCGAGGAGTTGAAGACTAAACTCTTCGTCTTCCTTACAAGACAAACCTTCCAAATTTACTACCTGCAATTCAGTATCATACAGAAAGTCACACCTACCCTACAGGGTTATTTTTTAAGATCTTAGGTTAGAATTGTTTCAACCCAAACGACCCGTTATTCGTAAAGACAGGTTCTGGAAAGAAAAATTCAACTCACTCTAGTATGCTCAAGAGCTTCTAAAACATTCTGCTTCAACTTGTCGTCCGCATCACACGACTTGGGCTTTTTCCTGCACAGTGCCCGTAGCTTTACTTTTGAGAGCAGTGTTTTGATTGGGCTTCCCTGCTCGGTCTCCTTTGTAAAGGAACAGAAAGAAAGCTAGATTACAAGGACAATGATTGACACGCCTACGGTGATTGACCGTGAGTATCTGGCAGGTGAACCGAGGTAAACCGTGAAAAGTGCCGACTGGGCAATTATGTAGCCGTTACGAAACTGCTATGTCAAGCCCAGAGATGAGAAACGGTCCCTACCCGGTCCGGGGTTCCGGCGCTGTCTGTTCGCCCGAGCAGGCGGGCAGACGCCTCCAGTCGGTCGTCGCATCGTACTTCGTTCCGGGACCGGACTGGGACCGGGCCCGGACTCGAACCGGGTCTAGGGCTAGGCCGTTTCGGCCGGCCAACCAAACCCGGACAAGAGCGGTCCCGGTCCCAGTCCGGTCCCGGTCCGGTCCGGGCCCGGGCCCGGGTGGAAGGACCGGGACCGGGACTGGCCCGCATCAGCGCAGGACCCGGAAAGTGGGACCGGGTCGGGACCGTTTCTCATCTCTGGTCAAGCCCTGCCAATGCAAGCTCTCATGGCGCCTGACAGGTAGGCAACATCTCGCCTGCAGTGCATGCGTGTACTGCGGGCTGGCCTACCCGAGTCTCGCAGGCGCTGACCTCCTGTTATTTATCGAATGAACCTCAGAAAAACGGACGAACTTTTAGTGATTTGGGGGGAAATTATCTCAAAAATTACTGAAAACTCTTTCTTATACTTTCTGTTGAATTTGTTTTTCGATACAAAGTTATCATGTCCAGAAAAGCAATAAATCGATATCACAAATCTGCGTTTTCGCAAACTTTGGCGATGATAGCGTCTAAAATCCAATTTTAGTGGGGTAATTTCAGTTTCGACATATCTCCCAAACTAATGATTGGAATAGACCAAGTGCCTCCCTTCTATTAGAGACAGTCTTGTCTGAAAACGGCTCCCAACTGTATACGCTTACCTGTCGAGAAGTTGTGGAGTTTTGAGCAGACTCAGGTGTGGGCTTCCGGTCATCCCTAGCAACATGGACTGCCTCAAATTTTACAGCAGG